AAGATAATTAAAGTTATTAAATAATTAAAGAATTACTCTTTTAATTATTTATAATTTAATTTCGAAATAGATCGGAAATCTAAGCTTATAACCTATTAATATATATTATAATCGATATAGGAAGTATTAAATAATAATTAAGGGTATAGCTTAATTATAGAATAAAGAGATAATAATAAATAAAAAGAAAAGAGAGATAAAAGTAATTATTATAGAAATAGCTACGGCTCTAGTATAGCTAGTACTAGAGTTAGGTCTTAGGGACTTAGTAGGCATCACGCTAGGAATATATAATAGATACTAAGTAGCTATTCTATAGGTATAAGATAGATAAATTACTCTACCTAGGTTAGAAGGCTATATAGGTATATATATATAGGTAAGTGGATATAGGCCTATAAGTCAGGCCACGTACTAGGCTATAGGCGGCCTCAAGGCAGGGCTATAGGCTAGGCCACGTACTAGGCTATAGGCGGCCTTAAGGTATAGCTATAGAGTAGGCCCTTCTATTTAGCTATTCGTATTAGTAATTATATCTTAAGAAGGAGATATTAAGTTAAGGAATAAATTAAAGATTCTTATAGCCTTTAATAAAAATTATAAAATAGTATATTTTTTATTTAGATTAAAAGTAAATAAATAGAAGTATAATTAAGAAGAAAGTTATAATTAATTAAGAGAAGTACTTAGATTAATCTTATAAGAGTTATAAGGGTTAGAATCTTATAACTAATCTAATAGCTCGAATAAAAGCTAGACTATAACGATATATATATTATAAAATAGAGATAACTATAGCTATAGAATAATATAGTTTTTATACTATTCTATATAGCTATTCTATAATAATAAACGTTTAAGTTCTCTTATACCCTATTAGCTAGAGCTTAAAATCTAACTCTACTTCCCCTATAGGTCTAGAGGTAGTCTAAGCGCCTTATCTACGTATAGCTACTAAGGGTTAATCTATTATATATAGAGGGTACCCCTTAAACCTATTTTTTAAGTTTTTAGATCTTAATAATTTATCTAAATCTAATTATACTTATAAGTCCCCTTTATATAATAATTCCTATCTAATTTATATATTCTTAATTATTATAAATAAATACCTCCTAAGATACGTTTTACTCTTATTAAGATTAATTTAAATATTTCTCTTAATTAATTATAACTTTCTTCTTAATTACCCTTCTACTTTCTTACCTTTAATCTAAACGAAAAATATATTATTTTATAGCTTTTATTAAGTGCTATAAGAATCCTCGATCTATTTCTCAACCTAATATCTCCTTCTAGAGATATAATTACTTTTGTCTCTCCCTTCCTCTTATCTATTATTATCTCTTTATCCTATAACTAAGCTTTACCCTTAATCGTTACTTAATACCTCCTATATCGATTATCGTTATATACTATTAAATCTTAATAAAAGTAAAATATATCTTAGTAAGTATTTATTTATAATAATTAAGAATATATAAATTAAATAGGAATTATTATATAAAGGGGCCTTATAAATGAGTCGGATTTTAAGCTCTAGCCAATAGGGTATAAGAGAACTTAAACGATTATTACTATAGAATAGCTCTATAGAATATTATAAAAATTATACTATTCTATAGCTACGATTTCCCTCTATTTTATAATATATATATTACTATAGTTTAGCTTTATTTAAGCTATTAGAGTAGTTATAAGTCTCTAATACCTTATATTCCTATAGAGAGTAATCCTCTTTAATAATTATAGAACTATAATTACTATTAAGCAATTATAGTATAATAATTATAGAATAGTAATTACTAGCCTATATAACTCCTAGTTATATAACTAGGAATTATAATATATAGAGAACCCCTATATCCCCTCTTAATAGGGGGGGATATCTTAATATAAAACTATTAATTAAGTATTTAAGATCTAAGCTTATCGGTCCCTATAACCACGACTATATCACTAGATTTATAGCTCTATTATTAGTCGAGATATAGACCCCTATAAATAGCTGTTTTTAGTGTATTTTGGAGTTCGGTTAGGGGGTATTCGGTTAGGGGGTAGTGCATCTTAAACCTTTTTTCTCTTTAGAATATCGTGGTATCATTGAAACGCCGCCCATTATGTACACGCGCCTTTCATAGGTGCCCAATCATGTAACCACTCCCGTGCTTTACCCAGATCTCCAGCAGCCGCCTCGCACGCTGCTATGCACCATTCCTGTTCCCAAACATTGTCACTGGCAAGTACCGTTGCCAGCTTTCTGCTCGTCTGGTTTCGCTCATCGACACAGAAGAAAAGGGGCTCATCTAGCAGCGGGACATTCTCCACCAGTGGCTTCACAAGCGGCAAGACAGCCTGGGCACTTGCAGCTTTGGCTTCCAAAGCCGCGTTGGCGCGGCCGGTCTTACACCACTGGTTGGCGCACCACGACTTGCCGCAGCCCGTCATCATTTGTGACAGGTAACGTCGTTCAATGCGCCGGCGAAGCGCCTTTCCCCTTGGATCGTGCATGCTGACATATAGTGGTCCGAAACATAGCGAGCAAAGACCAATGTCATTGCTGGGCCCCTGTCCCATTGTTGTGCCTGCACCAACAGCTCCTAAAGGCCCCGACGCCGTGTAGGGTGCGACCGCAATTTTGCATTGCGACACAGGTCAGGCTTGGCGCCGCGACACCTTGTCAAGTTCGTGGTGCTTCATGTGGGCAGACATGTCACGCATACGAACAATTTTGTTGCATAGGTGGCACTCGGTGGTGCGTGCCCCATCAGCGACCTCATGCGCAGAAAGACCAGATAGAATGACTTCAGCCGATGGACTCAAGGGATCTCCTTCCTGCGGCACTTCGAGGTGACAAAACCTGCAGAGAATCAGCTTGCCAGGGCAGACACTGGTCCTGTGAAGGGCCAGCTCGACCAAGGATGGTACAGTCATGCCACATGAAGAACACTGACACTCGCTGTGTCGCTGAGCGTCATGCTTGGCTTTGCTGGCAGCTGTATCGCCAAATTCGTCGTCGAATTCGCAGTGCCAGTGCGCTTCCCATTCAGGGGAGCCCTTTTTGAATACCGACTTGCACCTCGGACAGATGACGTTATTGCGTCGACAGAAGTTTTGGTGCAGCAGTATTGTTCGGCTCGGCACCCACTGCCGACAATTCTGGCATTGCTCATCGTCCAATGAGTGCGATGTGCTAGAATCACCCGACGTGGTAGATGGAGGGTCGGAAACAACAGCAGCAGACCTTGCACGAAGTGTGAAGGACAGAGTGGCTGAACCCGACGAAACCGAATTTGGATATCCGTGTACTGCGATCAGCAGTTGGTCTGCGTCTTCAAGCTCGACATTTGTAGGGTTGAGAATAATTGTCTTCATGCCACTCCGTGCGACAGATATCTCGCCAAATACGTGCTCTAAATCGCGTGGCAAAGCCCGTTGTCGAGACGATTTTGGACTGACAAATAAGTCAAGCGAATCGGGATTGGACATGCCGGAAAGCTCAATTATCAAGGGAGCAGATCTGTTCCAAGATGGCAGTTGGAAATCGACATATTGACCGGGCACAACCTGACCATCGATGGGCTTCCACATGTCTAGCGTGCCGCCTTTGGAGCTTCCGTTGGCGCTTCCCGTCTCTTCTTGAGCCATTATCTGACGCAGAGTTTCGCGAGCCTGCTCCTCGTTCAGAGCTTCTATATCAACCTCGAGATCAGTGTCGACAACACATATACCATCGCCTTCGGGCGAGAATTTATCGATAAGAAATTGGAATTGTTCTCCCTTGACACCGCGAACGGCAAGAACAGCATCTTTTGTCAGGGTAGTGAAGCTCTGGCGCAGCTGACGCTCGAGGAGAGACTTCCAGTCGTCGGGATTGTAGCCTGCTTCAAGGGGACGTAGCCGAACATATGTGCCTTTGGGAAGATGTTTTGCGTGAATCGTGATCCGCGGGTAGGCTTTGCTTTGGTCGCTCGTCGCGTGGGCATCGCTGTCGATGTCACTCTCGCTCGCGAACATGCTGCTGTCGATGCCCAGGGCTTCCATCAGGTATGGGCCCAGCGCGACTTGCCCCTCTTCGGCAGAGAACTCGCGTATTCCAGCATGCACGGCATTTCCGTTGATCGGATTAACGAGGCGAAAGGTTAAGGGATTCGGAAGTTGGGAGGTCTCGTGGTAAGGTCCAGATTGGTGGGTGGCGTAGGGATTGAAAGGGTCGCGTGACGAGGAGAAAGTCTGGTTCGGATGAGAAGGCGACCGGGAGGCTGCGAGAAGGTGTTCCAGAGCTGATTGAGGGAGGAGGATTTTATCTCCACGGAGGTCTTTCGGTGCGCTTCTCGCTGGCGGGACAACAGAGAATGACGCAGACCAGGTGATCGAGGGATTGTTGTCTTGAGGCTCAATGTCACCCATGTTGTGATAGAGGGGTCAAGTGGCCAGATTGGTGGGAGAAGAGGGTAGGTCGAGGGAGAGTTGAATGTACGGATTTATCATGACAAGCTTCGTAGAGATTATAGCGGTTTTTTCGGATCATTGAGTGCACGGCGCAATTGGCATCATGGCTTCGAAGAGGCCCAGCTGTCGAGGGGCCATAACAGATGATTCAGCAACATTTCATTTCTTCGCGATTCTATGGTGACTTGGATTCGTGCAGGGGCCACCCGCTACGATGACGTGGGAAAGCTTGCGCCACAGAGGGCACCCCATCCGCCACTTCAGGCCTTTTGGGGACTACAGATCCGAGCCGAAGATTATCCATTAGATCTTACGTAAGGCTGTGTGAGTGGGGGTGGCTGGTAAATGTTCTGGCTGGCCTTATACAGAAGAGCAGATGACCATAAGGTAAGTTCGCGATCCTTCTCTGGCATCGACACTAAAAGCTAACATGATACTGAGGGGGTCCGAAGCATCCGACCTAAGACCTAAATGAGTCGTTCAGAGACGCCAAGAGGGCTTGTGCCAGCTACAAAATCAAAGCCCAATGTGATCGTCAATAAGGCCAGTCAAGCCACCTCTTGGGCATCACGGATCGCCCAGCCGAAACCAAGCCCAAAATACATAGGTAATGTCCGACTCTGGCTTCGTCACTGGCGCGGGACAATCAGCCAAGAACCCCCCATACAAGGTACATTACATGTCGTTCTTCACCGCCTGTCCGGGGAGTCATCCCGCACCCCACGGACGCCCGGCCGAGATGCAGCTCGAGCCACTGCGGTGGCCGTGCATTAAATCGATAAGTCGGCAGGTCTAAGCGGGTTGTCGCGGCTAATTTGGTCATGTAACAGTTTCAAGCAGCAGCTTCATTGGAGAGCTCCGATGCTCGACATGTCTCGCACCTACTTTCAACCACCCTCCCAAAGCATTCAACGCCTCTCCCCCCCCCCCCCCCCCGATCTCTAACCCCCAACCCGTTTCATTCGGTCCGTCGATCTTCAGGGTCCGCATGCTGGGACTGGCTTAGTATCAGAGGGCCATGCAAGGATGCAGCAACTCCACACACACCAACGTGATGCCAGCTCGCCTTGAACACGGCGTTGTTCGAGTTGAACCAGACAGGCCGATCCAACTAGAGAGGCCGAAGAGCGCTTATTATTTGCTCTAGCTACTGAAGCTATAGAGCTCTAGGTATCCAGCATCCCAGCGAATATATACGCGAGCAACACCCCTCCATCATATGTCTTAGCTTCGAGGCACCTGAGGCACTGATCAGCTCATCATCCATCGTTGTCCTGCCTATAACTACCCGGTGTTCCCGACCAAGAGGTCCCAACATCAACCACCGTTGTGCCCTGATATCCGCCATCGCCAGGTTCTCGCCTTGCGCTTCATCGTTATCTATCCTCGGTATCCACTCTTCGCAGCACCCTCTCCTTCGGCCGTACCATGCTCTCGGCTGTCCATATTACCCCCAACGCGTCGCATGTCGAATACCTAGATCCAGTTCCAACGTTACTCGACCTCCTTTCGAACCACCTGATTCTCGTGCAGACCGCACCTTACCTGTCTGCCTCCACACGCCTGAACCTGGCTTCGGCAAGTCACGACTTCCGCGGGCTTGTCCTTCACACACCCGGCGTGTTCCGCCATCTCGACCTCACCCATACTCGCGCTGCCCAACTTGACATCGCTCCAGTCGACCGCGGCGGCGAGACCTGGCGCAACGCCCAACTTGACGAGAATGTGACTGAGGATGAGTACGTGGAACCCGATCCATCTTCTGTCGACAACTGCTTATTGCCCCCTCATAGGTTCTACTCAGGTCCTTTACGTGGCATCTTCAGCCGCCTCAGCCACCACAACCTCCTCGCCGATGTTCAAACTCTGATCCTCGACACTCTACCCGTGACGTCCGAGCTTTGCCACGAGCTGATTCTCGATCCATCTTACAACATCCGATTGCTCTCGTTGCGTGGGAGCAAGCATCTCAACGAGCGGCAGCTCTGTCGCACTCTCCAATATGCCTGCCGTCCTACGCGTCCGGAGAATACGCCACGTCTCAAAGCCCTCTACATCTTTGGTGCACCGGACATGGCACACGCTCCTGATGATTGGCATAATCGGAAGGGCAGGATGATTTGCCGGGCGCCGCTCGACGAATGGGCTGCCACGCTTGTTGATTGCCGCGGTCTCATTGCCTTTGATGCCCTGCCATGCAATGGCCCGCGTCACATCAGCTCACCTGCATATGGCAAGGTTCCTGCCTCCCATCTTGTGACTGCACCAGGTTCGCGGGACTCTCACCCTCAGTGGGCTGTTGCGACACATGCCGTCCCTGGTTGTGCAGGTTGCGGCGCTGCTCCGGAGGGAGTCACCACTCATGCCGGCACGCCATCCTCACTTCTGCCCCTCTTGGCGCCGCCACCCCTTCTCTCGTCCTCCGTCAAAGCAGCAACGGTTCCTTGCTCGGCCTCTACGTCCTCCGGCTTCGTTGCAAGATGTGCCGACTGCCTTCGCGATCGGTACTGCAACAGTTGCAATAAATGGTGGTGCGAGGAATGTTACATACCACCGACAGCGCCTGCAAGTCCCGGCCCTGTCAACCTTTCCGCCGCCGATGTGATTATTGTTAGCCCTGAAGGCGATGCTTGGGTCCAGCAACATGAGGACGAAGAGCATCGTACCTCACACGCCAAATCGAAGGTACGGAATGGCATCTGCAGTGATCTTTGCCTCTCAGAGAACTGAACTCAGTGGCTTCCGCCTGCACATACTGTATGCCCCATATGTACAACAATGTTCTTATCCTTCGGATCCCATGGAAATCTGCGCCGTGTTGCATTAGTATCTCTTCGCTAATAGCCTACAGGGACGCATCATCAAGAGCTGTTGGGAGTGTGGTAATAATGTGAGTCTCACACCACACCCAACTGGGGCACGGGAACTGAACAACAAAAGTGCCACGACTGCATTGAGCAGACTCAGCGATTTTGCCGTGGATGCTGCGGTGGTTACTGCATCACCCACAACGAAGGATCGACAGCTCATTTTGTAAGTCAACTAAAAGCCCAACAAATTTCCGAAAATCAAGCTGACGTTCTCTAGTGCGACTGTATGCCGCATCCCGATCCTTCCCAGCGACCTTTTGTGCTGATCAATTTGCAGGGTGTTCCAGCCGCGGGCGCTTTCTCCGCCACCTCTAAGAGATGCTGGAATTCTTCTCGTAGGCCTCTACTCTGCCAGTGTTTCGTTGCTTTGGTTGCTTCCCTCTGGATCAGTTCGGCGTTTCTCGACCGATCACTCATGATAGCGCAGCGCGTCTTTCTTCTCGTTTATGGAGCTTTTCCTCTCCCGTCTGTCGTCAGGCGAGGCCAGTCTGCCTCGTCGTTCTGTATGATACCCTCTTTTTGCTGGGCGATCACATTGTTGCGTGGCGTCATAGTAATAGATCGCCGATCCCAACTCATTCCTTACTGATGCAGTGTCACTCGAATGACAGGAGACTTCTTGTGGGTTACCGTCAAAATCAGGCAGAGTCGCATGCCACGATCAAGGCTCGGGAGCTTGCCACATCCACCATCGAGGCAATGTGCTGGGATCGGCTTCTCTACAACTGCATCGTGATCTTCATTTGGATTCATGTCACCAAGAATGTTTTTGGCCCGAATAATTCAAGTCTTTCTGAGACCGGCTTGGTCAACGTCAGTCTCGTGCCCTGTGGATTGATCGGGTTGGGCACAGGACAAACCTGGCAAAGCAACACAATCGGCATCGACTATCAGAATGGCTCGAATTGGAGCGCGATATTCACTATGCTTCCATCTACTTGGTTAACAGAAGCTGGGCAATATGGGGCTCGTTTGTTGATATCGTCATCGCTGCGATGTGGCCTGGAGCAGCACAAGGACGTGTTTTGGGTACTTGATACGATTCACATGGTTGTGAACGCGGCCTTGTTCTACTGAAACTTAAATTCGTTGAACAGCCTGCTGTTGATAGGGCCAAGTATCACGGTATCCTTGAGTTCGCGAGTTGCCAGTGGTTCATATTGTTTCCTCGGCTGTCCCTGTCGTCTGTGTTGAGATACGAGGCTTGTCCAACCAAGTGCAACACGAAGACGCAGGGAACATGACGCGGGAACAATGGCTCATCAACAATAACGAGATACCGCAATGCCATTTCCTTGAATAGGCATGCTTTTTCGAATCGACAATCTTGTGACAGTAATTTGGATGATGGGAATGTCTGTATTTCCGCATTGTCAAACAGGTTTCCGACTCCTTATGCTCAAGCCAACGAGGCATCAGGCGCTCTTGGGAGACAGTGTCGATGCCTACTAGCGCCCGCTCCAGGTTGAACACGTTGGATAATTTCAATGCGAAACGCAATGGTATTCTGCCATTGTGATGCTAAATATCTAATCATCAGATCGAGTGACATGGGGTAGTGGCCCTGGCGGATGTCGAAGATACAAAACTTCAACAAGCGATCTCGCGATCAAAAATCCTCGATCTCGATGATGGCAATCCCGGCTGACTGGCGGTGGACAAAGGTTTCGTCATCCATCAAAGTCAGCGCCTGCTGTGTTCCCCTAAGTGTCGAATGATACTCCCGCGTGAGCACAACATGAAGGCATCCCGATAGGCAGCCATGAAGCGGCAGGGTTCGTCGATCGATTATAATATCATCGAGATTGGCCGCGCATCGTTATGCCGCCTTCCAGAGCTCTTCAGCAGATGCCAAACAGCCACAAACTTCCGTCCAACATGCTAAAGATCGCCTCTATCGTTCACGGAATATGCCTCAGCTTGTTGATCGGCATGGTGGAGGGCATCGACCAAGCCGTCAATCCCACGCTCGTGGGTCGTCTGAAGCTGAGCCCAACCGAGCTTGACAAGATCAAACTTCTCTCTCAAGACAGTGATTGGACGTTCGACTACTTCGCAAGCGACTTCCATAATTACTCTCCTGGTGGCGTAGTCAATGCCAATGCAGCAACTTTTCCAGCGACGATCGGCAACGGCATGACGATGTCTTGGCTGACCCTCGGGCCCTGTGCGATGCTACCGCCACACTACCATCCTCGGGCGTCAAACTACGTCGTCGCGGTCGAGGGCACCACCGAGACTTTCATGACGCTGGAGAACGGTGCGCGCCTCGTGCGGACAATCCTGACGCCGGGCAAAATGACCATATTTCCCACAGGCAGCCTGCATACAATGCAGAACACCGGCAGGTTCCGTAATGTCCTTGATGCGATTCGGGCTAATGTTTACCAGGCTGTGAAAACGCAACGCTCGTCTCCGCTCTGAGCTCCGAGGATGCTGGCACGCACAACGTTGCGAACGGGCTGTTTGGGTTGCCATCAGAAATTCTGGCCGCGGCGTTCGGCGACAGTCCAGTGGCCACGCAATTCGCGGCCCTCGCCCAGAATATTCCGGCAGTGGGCACCGGAGCTTCGGAGGGGTCTTCTGAGTGCATGCGAAGGTGCGAGGGTGGCCCGTCCTTTTGAGATGATCTGGCTGCTGTGATTTCTGCAGTGCAGTGGTTATGTCGTGCTTCGTTATCGTTGATAGACAGATATTCTAGCCCCAATATCAACTTGCAAAAGGTTGGACGTCATTTCATGCAACTCAGCTGTGACTCGCTCAACATATAGCCGAGCTCGAACCGAACTTTTGAGCGAGCCAACTTCCGCCGTGCTCCTCGTATTCTGCCTTTGTGACACACATATTGGGCAGATTGTGGTGACGGGCAAGGTTCGCCGCGCCAAGCCAAGTACTGGTGATTGGATCAGCTGGGCGGGCAACACGTACTATGCAGTCGTCAGGCACCCGCTTCACGAGCTCCTTCTCAAGACGCTGAATGAATCCTTCGAACGAGGCATTCCCACCAATGACAACAATATTGGCCAGCAGGCCTGGCCAGATTCCAATCGGCAGTTCGTCGAGAGACTGCATAACGAGGTCAGCTAGCCCTGACTGCCAGAGGCCAATGTCGGAGGGGTTGAACAGAAGTTCAGGCACAGTGAAGCGCTCGTTACGCAAAGTAAGGAGGTCCTCGCTGACGTCACTCGACTGAGCCGCCAGCTTTCTGGCCTTTGTGTGCATGGCAGGGTCATAGTCACGCACGACCCCTTGTGATCGAGTGTGAAAATCGGGTAGCACGTAGTCCTTGGCAACACCACCTCCTGTCAGATATGACTCTCTCCTCTCGCCACGTGTACCCTTCCATGTATTTTCCAGATCACTGTCGAAATCGAGAGACACGTAGCAGGCCTTTTCCTTGATCTCGTTGACGATGTAGACGTCGTTTCGCATGTCGTAGTGGCGGAGGGAGAGAAGGCGAGTAAGGTAGTTCGTTAAGAACTTACCGCCCACGTCGAGGCGGCGAACGGCAGAGTGAAACGGGCGGCCGTGGAGGAGAGGCAAGACAGTCGTCTGAGAATAGCCCGAGTCGATGACGAAGACCAGCTCGGCTGGGGTCGTAGGAACAGTACTTGGATCGCGAGGCGTTTGGAGAACAGCCTGTATGTCATGGTAGGCGTTAAAGGCGGGACCTGAGGAAGGGAACGTCAGTGGTGAAAACCCAGAAGCTGCAGCGCACCGACTGACCGATGCCACGATAGTAGCTGGCAAAACCATACTCCTCGAAAACGATCTGGTCGGTATTCGACTGAAGCACGGGAAGGGAGTTGGGCTGTTCAGCGAGAAGCAGTCGCGTTTCGGATGGATCGCATTTCTGTGGAGCTTTGTCGTCGAAGAATTCGCGGTCCCAGATCTCCCTCTGAGCCTCCCAATTGACAATGAAGCCCTTCTCTACCGGGCGCCTGAATTGAACCTCGCCAAAGTCACGACATTGGTCCAGTTCGGACGCGACGTAGAGCTTCCTGGAACGGTCGCGGGCGATGCAGTTGGGGATAACGCGTGGTTGTCCCACAGATTCGTCGGTTACGAAACCAGCCTTGATGGTGTAGCCACCGTTGTCTAGAACGAGCGTCTTGGCTAACGGCGGGGGTCCAGCCGTGCTTCCCCTTTTGCCCGCCATTGAAGCGATGGTAGAGCTTGCAAATGTGCTTGACAGGTGGGAAGGTGCATGTCGCGACGACACAGAGATGTTGCAGTGGAGGTCATGGTCCAGAATAGCGTTTTTGTGGCACCTGCCAAGGCTCAGGCCCGGCTCGGCCCAGTGTGAGCCGCACCATATCAGCCCAGCCCAGCCCAGGGAACATGGTGCATGTGCGTGGTGCACCACAAATGGGTGTCCAGAAACAACAGCTCACTCCGCCTTTTGTCTATTTGGATTTTGACGTCTCTGATAGAGATCCAGGTCCCTGCAGGCTCGTTTGACTTGACAGGAAGTCGTAACCAGAGAAATTGCATTAGCTATGGCAAATTTTCAGACAATTGTTGACCCTCACTCAAGCAGGGCTCTGCGCCAACAAAAAAAGTCTTTGCTTGGGGTCGCTCTCTGACGCGACTTCTCCGTCCATATATGCTTGGGCATGTGCTACATTCAAGTTATGCGTCATTCTGACATCGTGTTCGTAGCAGCTAACAGAAATCTCGGCGGAACCATTCGCGCGCTGCCGCACTTATTGTGCCATCATTGACGTGGATGTGTTGGAGCCGGGGGTGAAGTTGCTCAACTCCGACACAAGGCAGGGATCCCTACAGGACGAGCACCGCATGTCAATCTACAGGCCCGGTAATCTCGCCACCCCGCGACCCAGATACTTAGGCCGCTGCGAATCCGAATCCTCCGCACGAGTTGCTAGTAACCTTGAAACAAGACTCAGTCAAGTCTGGCGAGATAAAGGCAGGATGGGCAGTGGAGAACACAAGCTTCTCTAGTGCACTACCCTCCTTCGACCTGAAAATACCCGGCAAACCCGCTTGAAAACATCACCGCCTGGCCAAAGCCAAGATTGTGGCTCAACCAATATTGATCGAGGCACTCAGTCCCTCGTTGACTCTGTCAGTAAAGTCTTTCTGATCTGGTCTTGCTCAAGAGCGGCCTCAATCCCTACAGCCCACTACCGACTACCTGCCCGACCTGCGAGATACCGTGACAGGTAGATGGAATAACACGACATTGCGATTTTGGGTAGTCATTTAGGCATCGCAACTGAAGGTCAAACACGTCTCTTTCTCCGCTTTTTCTATATGACTACTGACTGCCCAGAGGCTCTCTCCGAGTACTATCATCTCCAGGTAACATTCCAGGCTTTGGGGTTTCCGCTTCTACAAGACAAGGTACGTCCGAAAAGTGTGTTCTTAGACTCAACAGCACGTGTACCGAGCAACGTGAGCATTAAGGTCTCCTTTCATAAACCAGAGCTTATCGTACAGAACTGCTTCGAGGACTTTGGGACTCATACCCAGCCAATGCATTAGACGGCCAACCTGCATGCTCGAACATTGCTTTCACAATATTTTCTCTGGCATTTAAGCAAGTTACGGGATTCCACGATATCTCCACGGAAAAGAACTAGACCCCTTGTGTGCGTCTTCAGACGGTTTCCTCCACGTAAAGTATACGCCTATCCCAGATCCTGATGCACCTCCCAGAAGAGCCTTCTTACGTTTTGATCAACATGAAAAGCTCTCCCTCCGACGGCCGGTCGCTGCCCACGATCAACCTCGAGTAAGCCCGGTCAAAGGTGATGCCGCAAGGTCGGAAGCATGTGCTACTGGTGCAACTCCCCTCATTTTGACTCCAGAAGATATCTTTTGCCGCCGTCATGCTCGTGGCTGGCTCCACAGGTTCGTACTGGCCATTAGCCCCACGCCGAAACGCGACCTGCACAACCTTGTAGCCCGTTGCAACGGGCCGGTTCCAGGAGCCGTGAAAGGTGATGAACATGTTCTCTGTGGCACGGTCGAATGCAGCATCCATTGGCGCAGAATGGGCCTGAAAACTGAGGCGCGGCGGAACGGAACCGCGACGGGCACAGTCCTCGTCATTGAAGGTCGCGTTGGGAGTGAGAACAAACTGGTCCCCCGTGCGGAATGCCTTGTCAGTGAACTGGCTGGCTCCGTAGACGCTGTGGCACGTCGGGTAGCCGTACCAGTTGCGGTTCTCCACGGCGGGATCACCAACTATTACGCTGATTAGCTTACGCTCATGGCTCAAGGCTGAACGGTGTCTTACGGTAGTTGAGCTCCTCAGAAGGGTTGTCGGCATGGATGTCGTATGACGAGCCACCGACAGTGCGTTGAAACTGGTCGGCGCCATTCTCTACCTCCCAAACCCTGGTTGCGTTAGGATAAGTCGCATTCTGGGACATGTCACTTACTGGTTGCCGCCATCAGCGGCGAGTGCCACACCATTGCGCAGACCATAACCCAGCAGGTACCCCTGCGTGTTGAAGGTGTAGCCGCCTGAAGGCACGTTACGCAGGTCGAATACTTTGACGATGGCTCGACCCGTTGCGGGGTTGATTGTTGGATGATCGAGATTGTCGAATGACCCCAGTGAAATGACCAGTAGGTGAGGTGTCTGAGGTGGAATCAGGAGAGTACGCGAAGGGTGGCCGCCCTGGTTCATGGCCCTAACGACTGTGCGTTCGCCGCTTACAGTTTGGCTGGCGGCATTGTAGCTGTACTCGAAGGCAGTTGTCATTGAAGAGACGTAGAGCTTCGTGCCGTCGGCTGTGAGGGAGATACCGTGATTGAGGGCTGGGTTCGAGATGAGAGTTTTACTACCGGAAAGGCACCCATCAGAACCAAAGGTGTGGACTGTGACACCGAGACCGGACTGGACAACAAGCAGATTGCCGTTGGAGTCAAGCACGATGCCGCGGGGTGTGCGAAGACCGCCAGCAATCTTGACGGCTCTCCATCCACTGGCCACCCCAAAGCTCGACCGCCAGGCACTGACACCAGGACATGAGCTCGGGGCAGGAAGAGGTACGACTCCGGTCTGCGTCGGCCCTGCGACGTTCGAGGTGGTTGTTACGCTGGTCGGAGGCGAGCCAGTACGGGTAACGGTTGTTGTTAGTGTTGTCTGCACATCTGTAGTCGTGGTTGTGGTCGTGGTTAAGCGAGTTGTCAAGGTTGTCGTGCTGGCTCCCCCTCCACCGCTGCCAGCCCATTGCTCAAAGCCGGCCTGCTTCGCCAGCGCAAAGTCGTGGTACCAGTGATTGGTGCCCTGATGAATCCCAAACGTCGTTTGTTCCTCCTCAGGGTAGTCGACAGGCACAGTGGAATAGGCATTGGCAAGATAGTTCTCGCCGTTGGGGTTCAAACTCTCGGGATCGGAGCCCTGGACAGACCAGTAGGTGCAGCCGCGGCAGAGGGCCGTGACTGTGAAATGAGTAGCGTTGGCCCCAGATCCTGAGAGCAGAGTATGGGTGGTAGCTGGGTACGGCGGAGGGACGGAATAGCCACTGCCAGGATGAGTATCATGTAACAAGGCCGGATAGCCAAGCAGACTTACAAGGCCATGCGAGCTGAGATCATGACATCGTTCCCGTTGGGCCATACGATGCTCAAGGGATTGTAGGTCATGCCACCTCCCCAAGCCAAGCCAGCCCAGCCAATACTGATGGGGGCAGTGATTTGTAGAATGGCGTCGAATGACTGTCCTGGAGCGGCGCTAGTTGGGATGGCAATACCATAACGCACGCCAGCGCGATCAGTGTAGCCAGAGAAGGTACGGCCTTGACTATCACGGTAGGTGGTGGTTTGGGCCGTGGCTGCTCGCGTCAGTGACCTGTTGCTGGCGAGACGGCATGTAAACAAGACCTACTAGACCCGGCGAAGGCCGCTGTTGTGAGAATGGACGACCAACGCATGATGGCAGACCTTGGGAATATTGACACGCATTCGGGGACAGGATTCCGACACGGCGGGACAGGACAGCAGCGCCATTGTACGTTTAATAGTCCTTGCAGAGCGTAGGTCTTGGAGGGCACATAGGTTGGGCAGGAGCGGAGCGGAGCAGGCATCGGCAATCAACAGAGCGAGACACTGAGCCTGTTGATGGCAAAATGCTCGGAATGGAGACCCAAGGGGGCAGGCTGATGTGACGATCGAGCAACGAGGATGGTAGCCAAGCCGGCAGAACCTCACTGGAGGCGCCTGCGCCGGCGGCAGGTTTAGCATGGCCTGGGTACACGCAATCTATCGGAAAAGCAAAGACTGTGCTAGAGGACGAATTCATAGCATGGTGTCGCAGTGGAAGAAATTCGATATGAAGTAGTTTCGGTCCATTCGCTTGATTGGGAGGGTAAATAGTTATGCTAGAGGTGATCCAGCCGGGTCACAGCACGCGGGGGTACCAACGGCACCTGGTGAACATGAAGGAGCCACATCGTAAAGTGGCATTCGACTGATGGAACGCAGATCATTACGAGTGTGACCACCAACGCTGGAAGCTTTAGCCTAATGGATGACGAATATGGGGAGGGTGATTCGAGGACGCAGTGGGACGGAGGCTGCCCAAATAGGTAGGACGTTCTCAAGATGGGCCACGAGTTCGAGTGAGGTAGTACTGCGATATGATGATAACAGGGGATGTACAGAACAAGGAAATCTTATCGTACGCGCGGGGAGTGCTAAGAGGACGCGGGGTAGCCCTGGGATCTGTTTTGAGAGAATGTGTTCTACGATATGCCCAGCACGTCCAAATTCGCACTCCGGAATGTTAGCAAGGCAAGGAAGCGGAGGAGCAAAGAATGCTGACCAGGTTTCGATGGATCACTAGGACTACGGTTCTCATGACAATACCTGCAGTGGCCGTCGACGCAGTGCGCCAACGCCGTTGCGCTCAAGAACCAGGATCCCAATCGAAGCACGGGAAGCAGGGCACTGCAGGCTCAAGTGCCTATAAGGGGGAGACGAGGAGGTGGACACACCGAGGTCACACCTTGATCGATTGTAAGCGGATGGATTGCGGGGAGGGGGGGTCGTAGTGGTATGCTCTCTACCGACTACAAGAGGGATTTGCTCGGAGATTTTTCATCACCATGCACGTGATGGTGCCGGTAGGTAGGTAGCAAGAGGCTGCCCCCGAAAACGGCCAGATGATGAAAAACGTTCAGGGCATGGCCTGAGACGGCGTCTTCTTGTCAACGAAATGTCGGACACGCCAGTTGCGTGGACCCTTGATCTCCAGCACACACACACCTGATTGCCTGGACCAGCCCAGTACCCTTTGCAGCAGACATCGCCTCCTAGGCACCTCTTCTGCGCAGAGCATACTTCACATGGGCGGAGCCCCCTCTTCATCAAAATTTGGATGAGGGCGTCATCGACTCCCTGCCAGCTCCACCTTTCAACACCACCACGATCGCACGAGAGTAACGAAATGCACCTGTTACTTCACCGCGCAAGCCACAGCTAGACGTGGCCGGCGCTGAGTGCCTTGTCTGCTACACTCTTTCACGTGGGCAAGTGTCAGGCTGATCATCAATCGCATGAGAGCACCATCATCACCTAAGGCCGTCGGTTGGAGAAGCCGTGAAATCCCTTCTCTACCGTCACACACGTAACCTTTCCGGCCAGCCGGTGCAGGTGCATTGCCTAGATGGTAAGTTTAGGTGTACATTGCACAGACTGAGCCCATATCAGGTGCCTACTTACCTGACTTGTCCCTTGTTCCATGGACCCTCCTTCACCTCGATGATAGCGTAAAAGTCGGCCACTTCATCATCGATAATGCCTCACACCAATCTATCTTTGTCTGCCCCTGTTCTGTTTCCAGCCACCTAAGCGCGAGATCTCTCGGTGTCCTCCATCTCGGGCCCTAGGCCTGTCCTGGCTTGGCGAACTAAAACTAACGCATGCGAATTACGCTGACGTGCTTGATTGCCCCTCCATCCAGTCGGATCGTCTCGGGCGCATTTTGCGCATCGGTCGCGATACCTTCACTTTGGCGTTGCCGCATTTTTCTCCTGGCCGCCCCTCCTCCAGATTCTCACAAGTGCCTTTCCTTCCTTTCTCTGCTATTCGTCCATTTTTCTCCTTGATTTTCACGCTCGTTTCTCGGATCTTGTCGGCTGCCTCTCTTCCCGCAACAACAACATGACAGCCCTGCCACCACCTCTCTCGTCTGTCATCCCGCCACTTATCCTGGGCACAGCGACATTTAACATCCAGTACCACCCCAACCCCGACTTCAACAACCTCTCGCTGCCTGTCCTCCGCGCAGCTTTCGCCGCCAACATCACTGCCATCGACACATCACCCTACTATGGTCCCTCGGAGCTCCTCGTGGGCGCTGCCTTGTCAGCTCTCGCGCCGCCCCGCGACTCGCTCTTCCTCATTACCAAGGCTGGCCGCGTCGGTCCCTCGGCGTTCGACTACTCGCCAGCTCACATTCGCCATTCGGTTCACCGCTCGCTGGCGCGCCTGCACACGCCGTACCTCGACCTCGTGCACTGCCACGACGTCGAGTTTGTCTCGCCCGCCGAGGTCCTCGCCGCCGTCCGCGAGCTTCGCGCCCTGCGCAGCCAGGGCCTCCTCCGCTACGTAGGCATCTCCGGCTACCCGCCCGCCGTTCTCGCCGAGCTCGCCGAGATGATCCTGCGCGAGACGGCGAGCCCTCGACGCCGTCCAGTCCTACAGCCACCTCTGCATACAGAACGACACGCTCGCTTCCGACACTAGCCTCCTCGACCGCTTCGACGCCGCCGGCGTCTCCGTCGTCACCAACGCCAGCATGCTCTCCATGGGCCTCCTCACGACCCGCGGCGCCGACGCCGGGCCCCAGGCTACCTGGCATCCGGCCCCGCGGCCCTTGCGCACCGCGTGCCGCGACATTGGGCCCTTGGCCGTCGCCGAGGGCTCGTCGCTCGAAAAGGTCGCCTTGCACTGGGCCATGTCTACGTGGGCCCGCAAGGGTGCCCGCTTCGGCACGACCGCTGGCGGCGGCAATACGCGCAGGATCGGCGTCAGCGTCATGGGCGTCACCAACGCCCGGGAATTTGAGGAGACGAATCGTGCGTGGCAGGACGTTTTGCTGGCGATCGACGTGGCCGAGCGACCGACAACCGCGGTCCGCACAGCAGAGGAGGAGGCCGCCGTGGCACTTGACGAGAGATTCCGAAAGCTTGTCGAGGAGAGCATGTGGCCTGCGCTGGGCGGATGGCGCAACTATAGTTGGGAAAGCCCCCAAGCCGACTTTGTCAACACACGGTCCGAATTTGGCGTGCTACCGACGGATCTGGATTCTGCACCTGGCGCAGCATGTGACGATGACTCAAATATGCTGGTTGAGGCTCAACGTGACGTCGTTTCCACGGAAAGCGTTGCCCCGGTTCTCACTGGCGCTGCGTAAGCTTAACGAATTATGAATAAATATATCACAAGGAGAGTAAATTAATCACGCTGCCTTCCCAAATGTATTCCCAATAAAGTCTTGCCCATCGTGACAGGAAGTGAGCAGTCTTACAAATACAGCGCAGCACACGCTGAGCGCCCAATCCCCATACTCTAAAAGACTTCATAGACAAGCCCCAAACGCCCAAGTGTTCAGCTTACTCCCATCACGGACAAGTGCGAGCTTTGTAGCCAGTGCTGGCCCCCCGTCTCCAAATGCCAGCTCAGTGTGTGATAGCTGGTGACCTCTCCACCATCGAGTATCCCAATTTCTTTGACTCGCCCTCTTCGTCGTCAAGAGGTGCCGGTGTCTCCGGCGTGATCATAACCTCGGGCGTCGATATATCGCTGATGGGCGTGCTGGTGACGCTCGTCTCTCCGTGTTCTTCAGGCAGCTCGATTATCGTGGGTGGAGGTTTGAGCGTCGCCACGCTATCCTCGACTGGAGGACGGACATCCTCTACTTGTTCGGCTTCTGGGGCATCGTCATCGTCTCTCTTCTTCGTCCCTGAGCCGTTGTTCGTGTCCCCAGCTCGTGCCAAGCTTTCGCCATTCTCAATGTCGACGCCCACCATCTCTGCCAGGCTGCGGAAGTTGTACATGGGCTCTGTGGCGTCGCGGTCGGCTTCTTCGCCCCGCGCACCCGAGCTGGTCCCATTTCCTCGAGGGTTGTTACCATCGAGGCAGCCAGTGTTCGAGTAGCTCCCAGCCGCGCTGTCAGCGAGAGAGGAGGATATCGATGAGGCGTTGCTCATTTGTCTGAGGTGGGACGGACCGCGGCTCGTCGTGGGGATCGGTAGCGAGGGTACTGTCGAGCTGCTCTGGGTAGCTGTGCTGTCGACGCCTTCCGATTCAGCCTGTCCACGATCGATGCCCTTGCCCTTGTTGCCGGTTTCCAGGGGTGGTGTCGGGCTGGTGGGCGACCCGCCAGGCACTTCGTTGACCTTGGTCGAGCTGGTCTGCGCGTTCTGAGTTGCTTCCATGCGAAGGTTGCTGGTAGTGCTGTTGCCACGACGTCTGCCAAATCCGAGAGACAAGCTGCTGGCGCTGGCAGAGCTGCCTCCGTTGTAAAAATGGCCTTGCTTCTCGGCCTTTTTCGCTGCCTTTCGCTCCTCCTTCTCCCGCTTCTTGGCATCCTTGCGCTCGGCTTTTTCCTGTTTCCGCTTTCGGTCCTCTTCGGCAGCGAGAGAAAGTCGGACAGCTTCCATGAACATCATATCCTCGAGCTCGTCCATGCGGCTTCGGCGACCGAGAATACCACGACCAGACGATCCGCGAGGGCCCGGCTCCATGCCGTTCGGATCCTCGCCGTCATGTGCCAGCGGGCTTTCGTCGCCAGGGTTCGCGGATGAGCTATTCTGCCCGGTGTTGCGTCTACTGAAGCGTCCAGGCCGAGTAAAAGCGAAACCACGTTGTGGTTGGTTTTCGCCGATGAGGAAAGCGGCCGTGTGTAGCGCTGTGGCGGCAGCAGCGCGCCTGGCTTGGTGCGCCCGTTGTGCGGCGAGCTTACTAGACCAATCGGGGCGGACACGGTCGGTAGCAATGACGTTTGGCGCATTGGCGGACAGGCTCTGCGTGCGCCTTCTGCCGGTGGGCGGAGATCCGGGCATGGTTGAGCTGAGCGAACTCTGTGACGACATGGCCGTGTTATGCGAGCTCAGCGGTGGCATAGCGTGCGCGAGGCCGCGGCGGAAGGGTGGTGCCTCGTACGTGACACCGAATTCGGACTGTTGACAATAGGGACACGCAGCGGGTTCTGAGATGAGCATCTCCGGATTCTGCTCCGGGTTGGGCGCCTGCGGTTGACCTGGCTCGCCTGGTTCGCCGTGGTGTTCTGGGTAATGTGGTTCGGGTCGCTTGATTTGGACGAAGCATTCACTGCAAATCGGCTGGTCGCAACAGCGGGTACGGTTGAGGTACGGGGGGTAGTACATGAAGCAGATGGGACACTCGGAAGCATCTTTGTAGAGAAAGACCTCGAGGAGCTGGCCATTGACGAAGGGGTCATGTGGTAAGGTGATCTCACGAGGCGCAATGTTGGCTGATGAGTTGTTGCGCGAACTGCCGCTGAGAGCCGCAGCAAGGGCTTTTGCACGGGGCTTGAACGGAGAGCTCGACCGCTTTGGGTTCGTAGTTGGCGAGGCAAGGGCCGAGCCGGCGTTGGCCGTGGATGTGCTGTAGTCAGACTCAACAGACAACGAGCGGGGGCCCATGGGCACGGTCAGATTTGCGAGGTTTTGCGAAGAGGTGTTGGCCGAATCTGGCGTCGGAGCTGCAGGCACAAGGTCTTCGGGGGGTTGCTCGTCGGCAGCGGGGATGGGAAGACCTCGACCGGCGCAGACGAGCTGGTATTCGGTCCAGCTGTCATCCTTGTCGTCGAGGCCTCGCCAGAAAGGCGCGATTTTACGGTCGAGCTGGCGATTCCTGGTCAATACCATGGCTGGCAGATACCAGATATTACGAGGGGTGACATACCTGAAGCTGCCTGACGACTTGCTTATTGAAGTCTTCGGGTCCGGTGTAGACGCCAAGTGTGACCAGATATCCTCCGTCGACATGTTCCTCTTTCATACTCCGTTCACGCTCCTTTTCACGGGCCGTTCTTTCCTTCTCGAGGCGTCTCGCCTCCCTTTCCTGTTTCGTTTCCCTCCGTTCATAGGGCGCCTCTTCTCTGTTGTTAGCTCCCGTTGAGCCCAGGCCAAGAAGATTGAGCTCGCCTCTAGTGAACCGGCTTTGCCTATTCCTGCTACGGTCGGAAGAAGGAACAGATTGCTCGTTCGGTCGGCTGGCGGCGGTGGGCTCGCGTGAGGGGGCCTGGGAGAGCCGGCCGGAGGCGCCGGAAGGCTCGGGACGAGACTCCTTTGTATTGGAGTTGCCCATAGTGTCGTGGGAGAGGGAGAAGAGGGACTATTTCGAAAGGCGTGGCGACAGGGTATGATCTCGATGTGTTTACGCCGTAGGGGGCCCAGGAGTGCTGGCCGCAGGCGAAAGCCGTGGTAAGTTTGTCGGCGCTCGTGTCCGGGAGGAGCGGCGTGCGGTGGTGTGTGCGTGCGATAAAAAGATGGCGCGGTCTGCGTAGAAAGTGCCACGCGGGTTCGAAAAGCCGGGGCAAGTCAAGGCGAGGTTGTAAGGCTTGCTGGTGGCAGGTCAAGTGTGCATGGCGCGGAGGCGTTACCAGGCGGGCATGGCGACGAG